TTTTTTTTAAAAAAAATTAAATCCAGGTAATTGAATATGCCCAAAATTCCTTAACGAGAGCGAATAAATCCTGGAGTCTCATTCAATTCATACTGTTATTGAAAGTAGCACACATTATCAAAATTTAGTTCAAAATTTAATCATACCTATGATCAATTGAATAATAAAATATCCTTCCTTCCTTACCAATGAATTTGAAAAAAAAATTTTATAATAATAATTTCTAAAATGTGATAATCTCTTGTGTAGGTGGTAACGTTTTAGGAGAATGTAAATATTCCATTTTTTTTAATTATGATATAAAAAAGAAAAGACACTTGATGCGCATCAAAAAAAAATAAAAATAAAAATAAAAAATAATGACACGGCATTGAAAATTAATAATAATAATAACAACAACAATAATGATAATGATGATTTGAATTGTTTTTGTTTGTCTTGTCATATTTATTTAGCAAATTTAAATAGTCTTTCATTCCCCCGAATTGCGAATTAAATAAAAAAAAAGAATACATTTTATCATTACAAACCTTTTTAAAAGATAATGGCTTGCATGATTGGAATAATTATGCTATGCTAATAGTTTGGAGAAAAAAAATCCAATTCTGCCTCGATTGTTATATCTAATTAAAAGATATTCACCACATAACTTTATTTAGATATGTGTAACATTAGAAGAATAATTCGTATATACAAATAAGTGTCAATAATCCCACAAACAACGGTGATTAGATCTTATAAACAGGTTTTTTTCACACACACATGAAGATCATATCACTACAGACATGCCATTGTCCTGCTACAGCGTTAAATAACATCAACTTTTAAAACATGAACTTTGAATTGAAGATTGGTTTGGTAAATGAGCAGAAGAAATAATAATAATAATAATGTAACTGAAAACAAAAGTCATTTACCAAAATAACAAGCGTTTCCATTGAACTTTGAATTGAAGATTGGTTTGGTAAATGAGCAGAAGAAATAATAATAATAATAATGTAACTGAAAACAAAAGTCATTTACCAAAATAACAAGCGTTTCCATCTTCAAAATCAGGAGATTTTATATATTATTGTCATGTATTTGGCATTTTTGGATTGAAACAGTTTTTGATCTTCAAAATTACTAGTGATAAATGGTTACACGTGACATTAATTATATTTCAAACGCTTAAAAATTCCCCCGTGTAAATAAAATAAAATAAAATAAATAAATAAATTAATTAATTAATAAATTAATTAATTAATCTATTCATAGAAATCAAACCACGAATTCAAATTTTAAGTTTGAGAAAATGTCTGATCGTGAGTTTAACTTTATATCATTGTTAATTTACCGGCAAGAAATATCGATTGAATATTCTTTTCAAAAAAAAACCCCCATATTTATTGAAATATTAGTTTCATATGCCACATACCCACCAGCAAATATGCGTCATCATTCGCTCCAAAGATACTAAAAAGGATATTGCATCAGACATATATTTGATCGACCGATCGATGGTGAAGTCTGCAGTTCCATCCATTCATTTATTCACGGGGGTGAATGAATGACTACGTTTGTGAAAAAATAAAAAATAAATTTTTTCAATTAAAAAAGCGAGACGAGCTTCGACAGTAAAGTTGGATAGATCAATCATTAAACAACTTAATTCATCAACTTTTATCTTAGCTAAATTTTACAATCCATTGAAATCGATCCATTCAGGAATTGGTTCCTCATAGAAACTAATTTCTTTGATTTAGATATTAATAATATGAATGGAATGGACTCTTTAACATCTGACACTCATCCTTTATAGATAATTTATAACTTGCATGTGAAAACGAATTTTTTGTTAAAATAATGATTTTCTGATATTTATATATATACAAAGTATATAAAGCAAGAGAATTCCCGTCTCTGAAAAAAAAAATTTTTACCTTACTACAATAAAATATAGAAATATTGAAAACAACCTTCTTTATTTAAATAATCCCTTTCACGAAGTCTCGCTAATTGCAAGCAAGGAATAAAAGTTTTTTTTTTCTTGCGCATACACTCTTCTTCCTACTTTTCCTTTTCCCGTCATTCCTAATATCAAAAAAAAGAATTTTTAAATAATAAAAAAATGTTGATGAAAAATTTTTTTGTTATTTTCGCTTTACTCCTTCTTGCTCTAGCAGACCTAGGTTCCTCAGCACCACAAAAAAGAGGCCCAGCATCACCAGCATTAGAACCATTTGATATCGCCACAGTAGCAGCCGGTGTGAATGCAAAAGACCCTTTTGCTGGTCTTTCAAAAGATTGTCAAGCTGCACTCAACAAAATTATCCAATCAAACCTTATGACTTGTTTACCAATGGATGCAATAATTAAATTAATGGGACAACCAGCTTTACTTGCCGAACTTCAAAAAGATCCACTTCATGCTCTTCCCAAACTTAAACCAACCTTTGATGATGCCTGCTCAGTAACGAAATGCAAAGATGCTGATGTTCAAAATGCTGCAGCAACAGTATTAGGTGGATGTGCAACTGACTTGGCTGCCAAAGTACCAATTGCCGAGCTTATATTCGCAGGGCTTGTTATTTACACACCAGCAATAGATATTATTTGCTTCAAAGATCATGCAGCCGATTATTGCCTCTTCGAAACAGATGCCATTCTCCTCTCATTACCACCACCGCCACCAGGACTCGTAATCCCAGGTTTAGAGAAAGCTCCTCCTCTTCTTGCATCAGTTGCGATTACAGCACCAAGTAATGTATGCACACCATGTAACAAGGCTATTATCAACACTTTCTTTGATTACTACAAAAAGACACCAATATTTGAGCAAGTATTGGCATCTATTGGTTATGATGACAAGAAAAATGGTTTTGTTAATCTTGCAGTTGATGTGAAATGTGGACTTATTCCATTCAATGGTAAATATATGACATTTTGCATATCTTTTATGTCTTTATAATAATAAGCGTATGTAAATAATAATAAATATCAATTGTCTTTGTTTTTTAATTATTCTAGATGGCAACGTAGGTGATCCATCAAAAGGTCCAGATCCACCAATCCCTCATTAATTTATTAATTTATTCGTATATTTATTATTATAATTTTGATCTAAAAACTTTAAAAATAAATTAAAATATGTATACTGTTACACCTACAATTATTATAAATAAAAAGAAATATTCTTAAAATACATTTTATATTATAACCCATTCATCCGCCCATTCATCCATTCATCCATTCATCCATTCATCCATTCATCCATCCATTCATTCACATTAATTTGTTATGAAAGAGTGAATGAAACAAATATAAATAAATAAAATGGAAAAAAAAAACTGACCATTATTTAATAAAAAAATTATTAATAAACTTTGATTTCGTAATCTTATTAAATTATACATTTATTATATAATAAATATCATAATTACATAAAAAAAATTTTTATAATAAAGGCCACGAGGACATTTCAACAACAATAGTAAATAATACGTAATAATAATAGATAACTTTAAATAGCCGTAAAAATATGTAACTGAAAAATCTATTAAATATTAAATAATTTTAAATATTTGAAGATCTTGACATTCATTATTATTATATTGAGGGGAGGGGTAAACGTGTGCGAGCGAGTGAGTGAGTGAGTGAGTGGGAAGAATAAAAAAATTTTATTATATTAATTAAAAAATTAATTTCCAACTAATATATTAAGCAAAGATGGATTGTTTGTTTGTGTGTATATTGAAAGGAGAAAAATAAAGTATTATAATTTTTTTTTTGTACAAATGTCGTGTAACTAATCATGGCTTATTTTTCTTTTATATTATAATTAATATAAATAAATAATACTATAACGATAATAATCAAAAGTATGAATGATTTTTTTTGACTATTAATATGATTAATTATATATATAGAAAAATAACTTTTTGTTTTTTGTGTAATAATTGATTTTTTTAATAAAAAGGCCATGTTTGAATCATCACATCCCTCTCTTCCTCACCAACGCACTTAGGTTTTTAAATTATTTTTTCTTCTCTCTCTCTCTCTCTCTTCTCTACTTTCATTTCTCTCTTCTCTCATTTTATTTTCTTTCTTTACTTTCACTCTTTATTCTCTCAGTAAAATATATTATACCATATATTATATATATTTTATATGTTATATTGTATATATATATATATATATATATATATATATATTTAATATTATTTTTTAATATTAATTTCACCACCAAAGTGCGTATAGTGTGCGAATTTCTCGTACAAAAAAAAAAAAGAAATAAAAAATCAATCAAAATTTTTTTTTTATAAATTTACAAAAAACACATTCTTTCTAACCAACTCCAAAAGTCCTACCTATTTTTATTTTTTTTTAATAAAACAATTTAATTTAAAAAATTTAGGACATTATCAATCTTTTATTTTTTTCCTTTTAAAAATTTTTTACTTTGATTACCCTTTCTTTCTCTCTCTTCTTTCTCTCTCCTACACGCATCCCACATACGACATACACTCACTCACCCACACATATTTCATTTTTTTTTTTTTTTTGATCAACGTTTAATGAAAATTATTAAGTTAAATAAATAAAAAAAAAACAGGTAATTTTATTTTTATTATTAGTATATATATATATATGTGTGTACAATATATAATAAATGTTATTTTACTTGATATGACTAGCTAAAAATGTACGAAGAAAACAACAGTTCTCCTGTCACTTTGTTAACTCAAGCTTTTCATTTACCGTCTCAATTCAATACTCTAACTACTTCCTCATCAACCACAACCTCCAACACCGCCAACACAACTTCTGCGCCAACAATCACAGCCAACAACACGTCAATATCTATATCACCACCATCACCATCAACTGATACTAACATTCCTACTTATTACGATCAAAACAATTACGAAGATCACATTCTTCATAATCCTTGTTTTAACATGACTACTACTCCAACTATACATGTGCCACCACCAGCAGCAACATCAAATACAACATTTGATGGTAATGACTTATTTATCGGTGGTAGTAACAATGGCAACAATAATAACGTTAGAAATATTAATGAAGTAATAGGAGGAGATATGGGAATAGATATGGGAATTGGCATGAGTATGGATATGATCGAAAGCGGAGAAGGAGTGGTAGTTAGAGGAAATGACGATGGTATTGTTGATTGGTCAAATAATAATGACTTATTTGCTCTGCCGCAAAATTTTGTTGATAAAGATCCTGCTGCCAATTGGTTAATCTCTCAAACAACAAACAATAGTAATGACAATGGTAATACGTCTAACGGCGTAATAAATAATAATATTAATAATAATAATAATAACCATCATCATCATCATGTTATCGAAAATGATCAAACCTTTTTGACTACCCGTAATCGAAGTTTGTCAACTAACGACATTCATACTTTGTTAAAATTACAACAATTAAATCATGCTCGTACTCAACTTCACTATAATGAAAATAATGATAATGACAATAATAATGACCCTAATAATGATTTGATAAATGCACACCAATTTCAACAATATCTTCAACAGCAATTACAACAATTACACAATCAGCAACAAAACAATGAAATTATTAGCAATGATCAAAATAACCTCGTATTCAATCCGCATTTTAATAATCAGCATATTAATAGTCAACAACAATTCAACCCTCATAACCAATTCATTCATAATAATAATAATAATCATAATCATAATCATAATCATATAAATGATAACCAACAATTCAATCAACATAATCATCTCAACAACAACAACAACAACAACAACAGCAACAACAGCAACAACAACAGCAACAACAACAACAACAACAACAACAATAATGACAACAACGACAACATTAATCATCATCACATTCATCAGCATAATCATCATAATCATCATAATCATCATAATCATCATAATCATCATAATCATCACAAGCATTCTCAATTAACCACCAGGAGTTCTGCTCCAAATTTACATGTCATAAATCATACTCAAAAAATTAACGGGTTCCAATCCAGATTCAAGCTCAATCCCGACAAAAAAACTCAAAGAAGTATGCCTAATATGCAATTATGTGCTCAAGCTCATTCAAACAAAGCCAATAACAATATTAATATTAATAACAGTATTAATAATGGTAATTGTAATGATAATTATTTTATAGATTAGACAATTGTGATAAATATTAAATACTAATTTCTCTTTTTTTTTTTTAATAGAAAATGATTTAGTGAATGTTCATTCTTCAACATCACCACCACCGCCACCACCACCACCAACACCATCAAATAATAATACATCTCAGTCTCAATCGTCATCTTCGTTCTTGAAACCACCACGTAGAGGTCATACACGTAAAAGATCATTATCTGCTCCTATTACACCATCTCCATCACATCAAAGTTCAAACAATGATCATCAATCAACAATCAAAAACTCTTTTTCCTCGACTGCATCCACCCCTACCTCTACCACGCCATTAAATCAACATTTTCCAATTAAATTTTCTTTGGTTGGTTTGTCATCACCATCATCGCCATTATCATTATCATCTAGACGATCAAACGCCTTACCAATTCAGATCCAACGAAATCCAAAGCATTCACAAGCTAGTCCTCCAATGTCGTCCGAAGAATATCAACGTAAATTGAATGAAGAACTGGAAAAGGTTGATTTTGAAGATATCACTGTCAGTGAGCTCAAAGAAATGTTGAGGCAACGTGGTAAACCTGCAACTGGTAAAAAAGCTGTTCTTATGCAAAGGCTTCAAGAAGAAATTGAATTGGTCAAAGCAATGAAAAATAATAAAAATGGTAATGGTGGTAATGATAATAACGATGCTGATGATGACAATGTTAACAACAACAATAACAATAACAATAATGGCAATAATAGTAATCTGCAATATCAACAAATGATTACTTCACCAACAACATCATCTAGTGGTTCATCATTACAAAGATGTATTGCAAACTTACATATATCAAGTCCTCCGACACATTCTAGAAGATTTAGCCCTTATGGTGGTGTTCCAAGTAGTCCAAGAATTATTCCCAACGGAATGAATAATATTTTTTGTAGACCAACTTCCACCAATAATAATGGTTTTAATAACGATGATTGGCAATTTACTAATATGAAGTTGATGCAAAACCACGATCCCAATAACAATCATGAAAATAACATCAATTGCGGTAATAATAATAATGATCATAATATTACGATTCATCATAATATTTCTCATCAGGATCTTTTTCTACAACAACAACAACAACAGCCATCATCTGCTCCTGCTACCATCACCGAATTTGATTATGCTGCAGTTTCTTCATCATCATTATCATCATCATCGTCGTCATCATCATCTAGAACTAACACAACAACGTCTTCACCAATTGTTAATAAAAATGAAGACTTTATTATTAATCCATTTATGCTTCAACAGCAGCAGCAATTACATCAATTACATCAATTACAAGAAAGACCACCATCATCAACACCTGCAATAACTACAGAATTCATCGAATCGTATGATTATATAAGTTCAATGTCAATGAATCCTGCTGCTGGTGTTAATACAAATGATACGAGCACAATGGCAATAAATCCTCAAATGCTAAGGATCAATTCATCTTCATCTTCACCAGGTGTTGAAAATATAAAACAAGAGCCAATTTCTTGTGCTCCTCTATCAACTAAAACTTCAATGTCGAGTATGCATGGTGATGACAGTCAATCATCTGCTTCTTCATCATCTTTAGCATCATCGAATGATCCAAATATAATTGTTAATGGAATGTTAGCAAATCATCATCATCATCACCACCACCATCACCAAAATTTAGCATATCAATATCAAGAAAACGTACATGACCAACAAGTAATGATCATCAAAGCTGAAGGTAACTATCTATCTATCTTCACACACGTGTGTGCGTGTATTTATTAAAAAAGAATATAATAAAAGAATTTTTAATAATATTTTATAATTAATATATGTACTTTTTAACAGATAATTTAAATTTCCTAAATTATTCACCAGTAACAAATCCTATTCCACATAATGATCATTATCAACAATCAACTCAACATGTACCAATGCAAATTGAACTTCAACAAGATGGATTGACATTTGGTGGTGATAATAATTGGTAATTGATAAATTGGGGAAAAAAGGGCTATCATATTATTTATTTAAGACTTTAAAAAGATAGAATTATTTATTTATTATTTATTGTTACCCATATTACTTATTGTTATTATTGTTATTAGGCATTTAGGCATTATATAAATATTATGTATTATTTATTATTTATTTTATTGATTTTTTTATACTTATTAAATATCCCTTCTTCACCCCTTCTTTTTTTTTAAAAAAATTTTGTAGTATAGTTTTTTTTTTTAATGACTAGATAGATGATTAGATGTAACTTTACAATAAAATTCTTGATAAATATATACAATATTGGATATTTAAAAAAAACTTGAACTTTATCAAAAATATTATTAATAATGATGACAAAGAAAGAGTCATCAACAAGAAAAAATGTCAGAGATTCCTTACATTATTTGGGAAGTTTATCATTATAGCTACTAAGAAGGTTGTTTGCCGAAACTCTGCTGATTGATTTCTGGAGGAATATTGGCAAGCAACCAGAGCTACTAATATCATTGTTCCTAAGCATTGATGCAATAAATATGCGAGAACAAAAAATTTGGCCATCCTTTCCAACTTCACTGCAAGTTGATCAACAGGATGAGAATGCTTGCAAATTTGGGTGGAAAAATATGATTTGCTGATTGAATCCATAACAGCAGAGTTGGCACTCTCCCATTGGACATATCAATGAACATAAATTTGTAAAAATAACATAATGAAAATATTTTATTTTTATTATCTAGAGTTTTTCATAAGGTAGTGTTGGGAAGTTACTTAAATTCTATTTTGCGGGATGAACATTATTAGCAAAGGATTGATCAACATCAACATCAACATCTAAAAAAATTCTCTTCATTTAAGATTGTTTAATTTAGAATAATTTCACATTGATCGCAATATTCAGACCTAAAATGTGTACAATTTCTAAGATGTCTCTTTTGTATTAGTAAACTTATCAACAATTGAATTTTCATATTTTTACATGGACGGCAAATTGCAAATTTGTTTTAAATGAACAGGCAAACAAGTCAAATAATTATGTATTTGCTTTGGTCCAATGATCGGTATGCATAATTACGTACCATACTGAAGAAAAGAAAAAAAAAGTAAAAAGTGCGTACCGTACGGGGTGCTGAGTTGAATTTAGAATTTTTTTCTAGCATGGTACTCTCTTGCTACGTATTTTCTATATATCCCAATGAGTTGTTGGACATTGTCCATTGCCAACTCTAACAACGGAAACAAGCAGAAAGCACAAGTTATTTAACAGTATACAAAAGGTCTCTTCAAATATTAGCGATATAACTATAGTATTTATCCTATTAACTTGCGAATGGATACTCTAAGTTTGTTCTGATTTACACTCTTATCAACCACAAGAGATATCGAGGTCATTTTTCTTTTACAATATGGTTCATTATTGCATTAAGGATTATGTTTTTCTTAACCTAAAGTTTTATTAAATCATTCTTCATATCCACTACGTCTTGTCATAAGTAGAACTTGTAATGACAGCAATAAAAACAATAATAACATTTCAGAAAAATTTTTTTTTAATTAAATTATTTAAATATTGAAATTAACAAAATCAGAGGATGTTTAAATGGCGAAGAAATCAAAAATATTCCAACAACTCTCGATTTATTTATATTTATAAAATCATTCTAATATTATTTGAACGGTGGCGATTATGATAGATTTAGGTAAGCCAAAATCAATTAGATCTTATCCGGCGTGATTATTTGAACAAACTTATGGATGATTCGGTAGCTGACCGTGTTGATAGAATGCGTTTGGGTGATTGTAAAAATGAATTGAAAAGCATTATTACAAGAAGAGACGAATTAATTAATTAATTATATAATAATCAATGCTAATTTTTGTCAAATTGGAAAGATAAATATTTATTAATTTATTGTTATTAAAGTTGTTGCTGGTGTTGGGACATATTTAATTTTCTTAAAAATTATTATGAATGTAATTATTTTCTAGAAATTCAATTTTAACCCATCATCATTGGGCTATCAATCTTGTAATGCTGTCACTGGTGAAAATCTTCTTTCTGGAATGGATTGGATTGTTGGAGATATATCATCACGTATTTATCTTCTTG